TTATCATCTGTGTGTATAGGACATTGGATTGGACATTGAATCGGACATTGGATCGGACATTGAATAGTTTGTTTTCAAAGCCCGGAAGGGCCAAATAAGAGTCCAAATCTGAGCAACAAGTAAACAAATTAGTGAATGGCCAAGGCTATCCAGAAAAAAACAAAAAAACTGGGCCAAAATCAGACCATCCATCCAATGTACATGGGGGAAGGTAGTAGAACCTGCCTGCACCTCCAGTATATAATCTCCCCCCGTCAGTCTGATCTGGGCTGAGTAGTATGAAGATAATCTGATAGATTTTACACTAGACAATTTTAAAATCTATCTAAAAAAAATGATCAATCCATAACTAGCCTAATGGAAGGGATCCGGAGGGGGCAGGGATTTTTAAATGCAACTGAAGCCAGAACTTTTTTTTTTTTTTTAGCTAGCTTCATTGCAGTCTGCCTCACCCCCTCTATTTGTCCTGGGTACCATTATCACTAATGCGGAAAGAAAATCCCAAGTTTTGGGTTGTCACCAGAACAAGAATAAAAGGGGAAATTGTCCAATGGGGAGCAAAATGCCTTTCCCTGAGATCTCATGAGATTACAGATGAGATTTCCAAGCAATGCTCTGCTGATGTAACCTTCCCAGGATGCCATGCTTGGGCACAGATTACATCACTAAAGCCCAAGGGGACCAGGAAGTGGAAAAACAGTAATTGTAAGTAAAATAAAAATATGTTTATTTAATTAATGAATGTAAGATGATTTCATATCAGCATGCACAGCTGGATGCTGAGGTTATTTTTAGTGAAAGAGGGTAAAGGCCAGCTGAAGCCCTTATTCATACGGGTAACGGCTGGCCCATACAGATCCAAGCTGCGTGCACGGCTGTATCGGGCAGCTACCGGGAAGGACGGGTGCTGAGTGTCATTTGTCGCAGCAGCCTGTCCTCTATTGGAGAACACGGCTGTACGCCGCCCTACGCTCACCCGACCTGCACGTCCGTGCGTGTGTCTGTACTCGTACGCTGGCAGGATGGATCCTGTCTGCGTCCAAGCAGGGACACCCGCACCAGTACGGATATACACTATATTGCCAAAAGTATTGGGACGCCGGCCTTTACACACACATGAACTTTAATGTCATCCCAGTCTTAGTCCGTAAGGTTCAATATTGAGTTGGCTCCGCCCTTTGCCGCTATAACAGCTTCAACTCTTCTGGGAAGGCGTCCACAAGGTTTAGGAGTGTGTCTATGGGAATGTTTGACCATTCTTCCAGAAGCGCATTTGTGAGGTCAGGTACTGATGTTGGAGGAGAAGGCCGGGCTCGCAGTCTTCGCTCTAATTCATCCCAAAGGTGTTCTATCGGGTTGAGGTCAGGACTCTGTGCAGGCCAGTTAAGTTCCTCCACCCCAAACTTGTTCATCCATGTCTTTATGGACCTTGCTTTGTGCACTGGTGCGCAGTCATGTTGGAACAGGAAGGGGCCATCCCCAAACTCTTCCTACAAAGTTGGGAGCATGAAATTGTTCAAAATGTCTTGGTATGCTGATGCCTTAAGAGTTCCCTTCACTGGAACTAAGGGGCCAAGCCCAACCCCTGAAAAACAACACCACATAATGATTTGGAGGGGTGTCCCAATACTTTTGGCAATATAGTGTACTTAGCCGTATATCCGACAATATAATATATATACACACACACAGGGCTTGAAAAATTTGGCGGTGTCTCACCAGTCAGTCACAAATTTCACCAGTCAGCATGACCGGACTTTGGCCAGCAGGACTGACCTCCCGAGCGGTAACACAGATGTCAATAAATATTTCAAAAAGCGTCTAAACCAAACTAAACTCAATAAAATGTTTTTATCCTTTACATTCACTTCAACTCAATAGGACCATTTCTTGGCATCTGAGTAATTTATCCATCTTTATGTGACTTTTGCTGACAGATCGGCTTAATAATGAAGAAATACCTGACACTGTGCATTTTTTTTTTATCTTGATTGATGTTCCCCTTTAATGAAGTTGCTAAAACCAACATTCTTTATTATTTTAGGTGACAGATGTGCCGCATGTTTATTAACACAGCCTAAAGCATATTCACTCAGCAATCAAAACAGTATTCACGGCAGGAACAAGTGCACATCCTATGGAAGCGGCGACACTTGAATGTAACATTTCCTTTCTCTCCTGCAATTTGCTGCTACCTAAAAGCTGCCAGACGCACTTCATTATAATTAGACCATCGCTCTGATTCTTCCTTAAACCACTTGGATTACTTTTCTGCTAAAAACAATTTCAATCAGCAGCATTTGCTCAATTGTGTAATTAAAGTTCTCAAAAAATTAAAGTCTTTAAGGGATTAATGCGGCAAAAGAAAAATCACCGGGCTCCTTTGTGACCTCTGAAGAAGAATGTGGACTGTACTTGAAAGAAGAACAGCCAAACAAATTCACAAAATCAGAATGAAGAGGGAGAAAGATGCAGAAGCTGGTGAAGTTATTCTTCGTTTCCTTATACCGGGGAAACTGAACTTCGGCCCTCAAGCTATATTGGAAACTAGGAAACCCAGCATGCCTCTGCCTCTGGGAGGCATGCCTGTGGCTGTCAGAGTCTTGCGGTACCTCATGGGACTTATAGTGCCACAACAGCTGGAGGGCGGAAGTTTCCTTACCCCTGCCCTATACCCTCTAACTGCTGGGAGATTAGCAGGCACACATTAATGAACAAAAAATGCATGTAAGCGCACAACTGTAATATGGTCAGGTTTCTCACTTGTTAACTATATGGAACATGGTGTGCAAAAGCTCTTCAACAACCGGGAGAGGAGCCCCGTGTAACGTGTTTGGCAAAATTATACATAGAAGAGCGCAACCACCTAAAAAATTGTTTAGATGCTAAGCATCCTGTAATGACTAACTGTTTAAATAATTGGTTGATATATAACTCACGGTTGTGATGTCATGGATGGACATGCACTCCCTGCAGTCCCGTGCAGTCAGCAAAGTATTTCTGGATGGAAAGATCTGGACGGTCAGGATCTAAATGGTCTAAGATCTAAATAAACCCCAAGTCTCTCCAGGCTGCGTCCTCGGCTGGCCGGGCCGAGCCGCGGCTATTAGAGCAGGAGGGGGAGGACTGTCAGGCTGCTGTGATCGGCACTGGGCGGTGTGTAGCCGTATGGTGTGCGGCGTAAACGCTGGAGCGTGTTCGTCAGTGCTCGTGAGTCCGGGGTGATGTGTTCAAGTGACATCAGTTGGCAATTAGCGGCTCCGCTCCAAGGCTTGACAAAGAGGGTCACCCTCGAAACGCGTAGCCGCTAATTGCCAACTGATCTCACTTGAACACATCACCCCGGACTCACGAGCACTGACGAACACGCTCCAGTTCGTCAGTGCTCGTGAGTCGCCGTGACGGTGACTGTCACGGCTCCCCGTAGTGATTTCCCCCCCTCCCTGCTCTGATCCTCCAGCGCTGACTGGCGGAACGGATGGGGTGGGTACAGCTCAACAGTAATGTCGGGATCCGTCCCGGCTGCGGCGGTCTCAGTATACCGCAAGCTGTAGTTCGAGGTATACTGAGCTTTGGGTCACGGGAGGACGCTACTTTGTGTCCTCCTGTGACCCTTAGGAGAACTATGGGGAAAAACACTTACCCCATAGTTCTCCTTTAAATGCAAGCAGTGTAAGTATGTGAATTTGACTTGGTATCAGACTCTTGAAATTCTCTGCATGGCAGAGCTCAGACTGGAAAAGGGAGAAGCAGCACAAGATGACTATCGGTTGTGCTGCATTGCTCATGTGCTAATAAAATATATGCTGATAGGAGGAGAGAGCTCATCAACCTACTGCTTCTCCTTTCACTGTCAGGTCACAGGGTGGGAGAAGGACAAGACTTGACTGCAGCAAAGAAAAATCAAGTCCCCTGTCGTGCCAGACATGTCTGCACTGTGCGACACAGCTGTATACATTTCAGGATTGGATGCACAGAAATATAAATCCATTGTCAGTCAAAACAAATCCCATATATGCTCCCTGTGTGTGTTGTAAAGTAGTCACTGCTCCAAGCTCACTCCTGTGATGGACTACAATCTCATTCGCTAATCGCTATATTAAGCCATAGAAAGGAAGCTCTATTTAAGCTTAGGTTCCGTGAGGGCTTGGGACTTTCTCCCCACTCCCATGTGACGGCACTGGGCCAATCACCAAGCACCAGCACTGCCCCATTGGAGAAGGGAGTAAGTCATATGCTCTTCCACAGCGAGAAGTAATGGGTATTTTTAGTGCTTCATGTGGCTGAATGACAACACAACCAAAACCAGCAGTTTTTTTTTTCCTCACTTACTTCTTTTAGCTGAAATCTAAGCTGTGATGTTCTACTTCATAGCGCAAGCATGCCCAGGACCTGATGCAGGCTAGGATGGGCGGGACAGACTAGGAGGTACCAAACCTGCTGTCATTTACCTGATGCAGACAAGGATGAGCGGAACAGACTAGGAGGCACCTGACCTGCTGTAATTTACCTGATCCAGGCAAGGATAGGCAGGACAGACTAGGAGGTACCTGACCTGCTGTCAATCCTCTGATGCAGGCAAAGATGGGTGGGACAGACCAGGAGGTCCCTGACCTCCTGTCATTTACCTGATCCAGGCAAGGATGGGTGGGACAGACTAGGGGGTACCTGACCTGCTGTCAATCCTCTGATGCAGGCAAGGATGGGTGGGAAAGACCAGGAGGTACCTGACCTGCTGTCAATCACCTGATGCAGGCAATGATGGATGAAACAGACCAGGAGGTCTATCAGGAAACAGCACTCCATAAAGATGCAAGGTAAAACTTGACATTCACAAAAGAGCTATTAGATTTCTATTGGCTTTAAAATAATCCTGTTGCTTTGGCCTTGGAGTTTCCCGTTACAACAACAATTGAAAATGTGGCAATGAAACATGATGTGAATCTTAAAAAACTGCTCATGTGTACAGCCCATCACTGAACATAGAAAGAGACCCTCACCTTATACAGCTGTAGTGTTTAAATGTACTCGCCGCTTTCTGACACTCCAGACACAGCTGAATGGCTCCGGGGTAATCTTCCTCCTATAAAGACAAGAAACATAAAGAATCAGAATCCTTCCCGGCACTGTAAGATTTATCTGCCCATAGACCATACAGAATGGCTGGACATGCATGCTTGATCCAACTGTCAAGATGTCCTCTGGGTCTGTTTCCAGCCTAGACCTAAGCGCACAAGTTACTCATGTATTTCTGTAAATGCCAATGGAGGCGAGAGGAGGAACACATTGCTGAGGAGAAGTATAACGATCTAACTATTATTTTGGTATTAAAGGTTAAACATGTTTCACAGCCAGAAGATGGAGGTAGATGAACCTTATAGAAGACAATGGGGATGTACTGTGTGGGAGTGGCCAGGAGAAAGAGATGTCCACCGCAGGATGTCAACAAACAACCGAGGCCGGGCCCATTGGAAATTGCTAAGTAAGCCTAGGTGGAGGATGAGGGTCGGAGCAGTGACATCACCTTAAAAGGGGCCCAAAGGAAGTGAACTTTGTTTTTAAAGGGCACTTATCGTTTAAAGAGGGCATCCGGGCACATAAACAAACCAATTACTAAAATAATATTAGGTTTGTTTTTTTTGTGTGTATGTGCAATGCCTACTTGCAAGTAGGTGACAATGTAACAGCAAGGCTGAAATAGGAAGTAGTGGTGTTGCCTGCTTGGCTATGTGATCCGGGGGAAATATGTAAATCCGGCAGCACCGCATTGTATTCAACTGTTAGAGTTTTACTTTATTCAATAAAACAGTGTACAAGTAAAGTCCTATCCTAAGGTAAATATTGCAGCAATAACTCAAACTCACAGAAAATACATTCTGGTATTCCTGGAACCAACTGCTGACCAACCATTGTAGTTAAACAGCCGCTTGGAGCCCCAGTCATTCTGACAGGACAGTTTTAAAATGTCCTTATCTATAGAAGGGATGTGCACGGCATGCACAATCCCTATACCTGTGGTTGCACTGTTCTTAAAAAGGACAGAAGACAGACAACATGCATAGAACCAATCAGAGTGTCTATGTGCCCCCTGTGGTCAGAATGAACCAATCACAGCCTTCAAAAATATAAACACTGGCTGCGTTTACAAGCATCCAGCCCACACCCCTTTCTCTCACAACAGCAATGAGGGGGAGGACTGCAGCAGATTGACAGGCAGCAGCAGAGGAAGACTCTTATGTGTTCAAGGGGAGGAGTTTTAAAGTGCCATGGACCACCAAGGGGGTGTTTAAAATGCTACTAACCAGCAATGTAGCTTAAAATGCCACTGGTCACCCATGATGGGGGGGGTTAAAATGCCACTGATCACTAATGATGGGGGATTGGTTAAAATGAAACTGGTCCCCAATGATGGGGGGGGGCTGTGTTTAAAACGCCACTGGTCTCTACTGTTT